GTTCTTCATCTAGAATAAAATTTCTTTAAAACGTAAACACCATTGATGGGTAGACCACTACAGATCGTAACGATATCTACGTTCAGAACTGCATTCGTGTCACCCATTTAAGTAATAGAAGCGCGTCATCAATAGAGGGCGCGATTTATAGGTATGGTGCTAGTTACCAATAATCGGCAAAAAGATCAGGTTATACTAAATTCTATCTCAATACTTCTTTTCCAAGATATAAGTGGAATTATTTATATATTACAAATATTGTGTCTGCAAGTAAATCACCATCAACGTCCATTTATAAAGACGTTCATTGCAAAAAGTAAATAAAACCAGTCTAACCTGTGTTGACACCTTTCAAAAACTAAACCCAAGTAAATTAGACTACTAGTATCTTTTCTATTCAATGTTGATCATAACATATCGAATAAATGTCTGTTTGGTTCAAAATTAACTATTGAAAAATACTTTAAAATGTGAAAATGTTTGGTGGGAAATAAGTTTAAATATATCGTGTAATAATATTTAATATTTCATGAAAATTCTATTCAATTTCTCATTGATGAGGTGAATAATGGAAATGCTTCAGATGCGGTTGATACCAGAAAAATCATTGAAAAGAAACGATCTCTAATTAATTATGCATTCTTTGACATTTCCGTGATAAGTTGATAAAGGATTTGCATTAATTGGCAGCAATTTAGGGTCATGGACCGTTCCATCACATTATACGAAGAAGAAAAAACGGTTTCAAGTGAGAGTGATTGAAAATAACCACCTTGAGGTCATTGGCTTAATGGCTGGAGCATTGATATTGGTTTACAAATGGACTACTCCATTTTTTCACTGTGGGGGAGCACATTCCCGATGAATGTTGTTGGGAGCAGGAAGCAAGACTGTTAGCGTTAATACCTTTTCTCAGGAACCGTGAAATATACAATCTAAGGCAAATAGATACCTTATACCATTTTAATTAGATACATACCTTCAGAGGCAAATCAAAATTCGGTATTTGTACAGGTAAATAGGTAATTCATTACAGTCCATTATAGCTACATACATACCTTAAAATGTAAATCAAAATAAAGCATTTGTAATGGTAAATACTCGGGCAATTAATATATGAACAGAATAGCCAACTCCAGTAACTCCTACACGAGGGCTTCTTGGTTAGCATAAAAATAGTGCATGAAAATGTAATCCATTTTAGTGATGTAAACAAACAAGTACTGATTGATTCACATGATTCAATAACAAGAAAATTGAAAAACATTGATAAAAAGCAAAAAAATGCATTTTCAGTACATTGGGAAAAATAAATACATGATGACAATATAGTCAAAGGTAACGGAAAAATAAACTAAAAATCTGTCAACTTAAACAGTTAGTTTAGAGGATTACTTGACAAACATTAAAAATATTTAACTCAGGGAATTAATAAGTAAGTTTCGTCTTAGCACAGTGCCTCTATCCGGGACTGTGGTCTAAGTAACCATACACTGCGATTTAAAACGGAGCCCCATACTCAGTTGCCAGCAAATGAAAGGGTCTTCTCTGCGACACAAATCAGATTGAAGATGAACAACATTTTGTGATGTCTTGCCCGACTATACTCAACACAAATTACAAAGCAGAGGTTTGTGGTATAGGTTTTATACATATTAAACAATTCATTTTTCTTATATATATGACAATAATAGAATAAACCATTCAAAATCATTATTTTGACCAATAAATTCCTGTCAATTCATATAAGCCAATATTTGCAAATCTGTTTTGAATCCCTACAGCATCACCATATTTTGCCACCGTGACTTTTCGTGTTTTCATGTGTATTATATGAGTGGTAGCGAATGTACCGGCGACTGACTAACTATGCCGACCCTATTTAGGTCATTAT